TTTTACCAAGGCCTCCAACTTGCCTAGCATGTCTTGCTCACCTGGCAGATAAACACACTTGCTAGAGCAAAGCCCAAATGCCATGTAATTGAGGATGTCTCAGTTTGTTCTAGCAAAGCAATTGGAACAAATTCTTGTTTGATCTTTTATAATAATCCACTGTCATCCTCCATAATCCATGTGGGCTTGGGAAGAGCCTGACTGTTGAATCAAATAGTCCTCATTGTGTATGAGGACTACCACCCTCTCCCCTTTAGGTCATTGAGAGAGGCATGAATCTCTGCCATTCTCTCTGGAAGTGATGCTTTTGACTTATGTCTTGGCCAGGGAAGGGGTAAGGAAATAGTTTCAGAGTATTCAAATTGGCCTTTTTGGTAGCTCTAACCCTATAGTCCAGGGAACTAATGTGGTTTGCCAACAGTAAGTACATCCATTCCAATTACACATTCAAGGTCTTGGAAAATTACCACTGGATGGGGCAGTGAATCCTGTGGACCTGCCATGAGACAGACTTTAATGGATTACGTGGCTCCCACACTTCACCATTCTAACATAGAGGCCATCATGTTGCCTCAGGTCCCTAAGTATCAGTGTCAACTCAGAACCTTTATCCAGCAGCCTTGAAACTTCTGGGTACTCCCTTTTTCCCCATGTACCTAAGTAAATGGCCATAGGTACCTTTGGGTGGGAGGGGGCTGGGAAAATCATTATCGAATATATGCATGGTAGTACAATAAGGTCCTGACTTCTGGAGATTTGGCTTCTTCAGTCATAGGTTCTGGCCAGCGATCATTACATTTTCTTAGCCTCAGTTTCTTGATTATTCATCCTTTATTTCACTTGACTGTATAGACTGATTACTTCCCCTGTTGTCTGCCCGCATATCTTGTCTTTAGAGACACCATATTCTATTAATCTCCTTGAAAGTTACCTGAAAATAAAGTGACTCTTCCCCTTTTTCTCTCCCCATCCTCCACTTTGATCATATTGCTCATTATGTGAATTGAGCTCACCTTATTTCTGAAGCCATCCTCAGGGAGCCCCAGTCTTGTAACAAATCCCCTATGGTCAGCCTCAGCTTGCAGAGGACAGCTACCACAGAGTTTATCAATGATGCTGGTGCCGCTCTCTAGCACATTCTTTATCACAGCAGATGATCTTCCAGACTTCCCAATGAAACAGACAGCTGGTAAGTATTTCAGCCTTACATACTCTACCTATTCTAGTATATTCAGTTCCCTGAGCCTTTTAACCTCTTATTTTACCTTTTGTCAAGCAATTCTGACATTTTCTGCTTGACATGAACCATGTATTTCTCTAATCCCCATCTCCTGGCATCTTTGCCAGAGTGTTTAAATCCTGTATCACAGGAGGGTGCTTTTTTATTTTTTTATTTTTGAGACAAATTTTACTCTTGTTGCCCAGGCTGGAGTGCCATAGCATGATCTTGGCTCACTGCAACCTCTGCCTCCCAGGTTCAAGTGATTCTCCTGCCTCAGCCTCCTGATTAGCTAGCTTTACAGGTGCCCGTCACCACGCCTGGCTAATTTTTTGTAGTTTTAGTAGAGATGGGGTTTCACCATGTTGGCCAGGCTGGTCTCCAACTCCTGACCTCAGGTGATCCACTGGCCTTGGCCTCACAAAGTGCTCAGATTATAGGCCTGAGCCACTGTGCCTGGCCAGGAGTGTGTTCCTTTTCAATAAACTCTCTGGTACTCAAATATATGTTCTATGTTCTTGATCCAGCATCCTCAGAATCCAGTCCAATACGTGCTGTCCTGGTTCCCACAGATAGATATAGACTAGGGCCTGTAGTAACTTCAGAGGATGGTTCTTTTCCTCTCTTATGCCCAGAATTTCCCCTGTTGGGTTTCTTGGCAACTTAATTCTAGTTATTGGTCTAGTGGATGGGGTAGGGGGAGGAAAGGGTAGGCAAATCCTGAGAGGGGCACGAGTTTTATTGCAGTGTAGAGGCCTCTGTCTGCACCATCTTCCAGCAAGGCAGAGCCCTAGCTTTAGACTTGGAGGACTGGGCCACTTTAACAAGCCCAGGAAATTCAGAGGGATTGGTGTTTGGAGGTGTTTGCATGCATAAATCAAATGTCCCCATCCCAAATCTCAGAGTTCTACTTCTTTCCCAGCAGGATCCTGACCTTGGCATAGCAAACTTGCTGGGATTTAGAATTCAATCTTAGCTGAAGTTATTATATTGCTAGAGTACTAGCAATATCATCCTGGGGCCTGATTCTCAGCTGTTTTGCTGTCAGACTTCAAGAAGTCCTCTGATTCTCACATTTTCCCTTAAATTTGTTACTAATCACCATCAGCCTTTCATTGTCAATAGCCACTGATAATAGCCATTCAATTCCATCATCTCTAGAATTATCACTTCCCCTAATGTTATAAAGATCTGAGATGTAGCATCCACCAGTGCATTCCCTTCCGTCAATATTCCACCCCAGCTCAACACCACTGACAATTTTAACAATTACATTGCTACGACCTGATATATGCTATCATTACTCTGCAAATCACAAATCCTAGGGCCCTCCCTCATTGTCAGCAAGGTGGCAGGTAACTCAGCTTCAAAATTCCGTTTTACAGCTCATGCCTGTAATCCCAACACTTTGGGAGGCCAAGGCAGGCAGATCACCTGAGGTTAGGAATTTAAGAATAGCCTGGACAAGATGGCAAACCCAGTCCCTACTAAAAAATACAAAAATTAGCTGGGTGTAGTGGCAGGCGCCTATAATCCCAGCTACTCGGGAGGCTGAGGCAGGGAGAATTGCTTGAACCCAGGGGGCAGAGGTTGCAGTGAGCTGAGATTGCGCCACTGCACTCCAGCCTGGGTGACAGAGCAAGACTCCACCTCAAAAAAAAAATCATTATAGAGTTTGCTTTCTTAGAACAACTGCTGATACCAACTGTTATAGGACAGATTCCCTAGAAATACAGTCTGAGATGGAGAACTGCGTGCAAGGTAATTATTTGGTAGCGTTCTCTGGAAAAAATGCCTATGCAGGAGTGATATAAGAAGAATTGGACAGAGGAATAGGTTTAAATGTCGTGTGATTGCAACAGAGGCCTCAGTTGGTTTCACAGGGAATTCTTAAGCCAAGATGGCCCTTTATACAGGCTGCAAGTTGAAGACAGGGAGCCAGGTCTTTGAACCCTGCACTGAGCATTCTTTGGATATGGACTTCCCCTGGGGAGAAGATGTGACTTGTGAGAGGCAGCTCCCTGCAGCTAGGACAACTTTCAAAGAAATGTTTAGCTGTGAGCCATCAGCAGCTACTCAGCCAGCAGCTGTGGGAATGGATGCCTCAGACTGGAGGCACTGTAACTATGGTTACAGTGTAACTATAGCGTGTGTTGAATTTCCAGCTTTTGTTGTTGGTTTATGTTTTGCTCCCTACAGGTATGTAAGCTATTGCTTTGTATATTTTGAGGTCTTATTGTTAGGGACTTGCTGTATATTTATGATAAATGTATCTTTTCCATCAAACATTCTTATTTGTTCCCTTGTGATCTTCTCAAATTCTAGCATAGCTGATATTAGGATTATTATTTGTATCAGTCAGGGTTCAACCAGAAAAGCAGAACCAGTAGATATTTAAGATACTTGTGGCAAGGAGTTGGCTTACTCAATTGAGGGGGGTGACTAGGCAAGTGCAAAATCTGTAAGAGCACCTCATCAGGAAAGGCAGGCTAGAAGCTGCTGCACGCTGATGGAGAAGAAACTCCAGAGACTGTAGCCTAGCCAAGTTGACAGATCATAAGACCATCACACTCCCCAGCTTTCTTTTTGTTAGAATGTTCCTGGTGTGATGATATTAAGACTCTTTGACAGTCCTCCCCCAACCCCACAGGGTTCTGCCTCATTTGAGTCTGTGCAGGATTGTGACTGCTTTGACCAAGAGTCTGGCAGAATTGGTGCTAGGTGACTTCCAAGGCCGTGTTATAATTGGCCATTGCGCTTCTCTCTTGTTCACTGGAATGCTCACTCTTGGAGCCCAGAGCCACCACGTGATAATTCCTTCCAGCTGCCCTCAGTCCTTTATGCTGGAGAAAACACATTGAGATGCTCTGGTCAAATTCAAGCCAAGCTCGTCTTTTAACCCATCTCCTCCCAAGAGGTGGACATGTGAGTGGAAAGCCATCTTGAAAGTGGCCCCCCCGCCCCCAGCCATCAAATCATCCCAACGGAGGCTACAGACAATGAGGCAAAGGCCCACTCACTCCGGTCCCTTCCAAATTCCTCACCATATTTATGAGCATAATAAGGTGATTGTTCTTCAAAACCACTAAGTTTTGGGGTGGTTTGTTAATAGAACATTATAACGGGAACACCTGGAATATGTTTTTATATCCTTTTATTTGTATGTATTTTTGTTTTGTGTCTCTTAGAAATAACAGCTACTCGGGAGGCTGAGACGGGAGAATCACTGGAACCCAGGAGACGGAGGTTGAACTAAGTCGAGATCGCGCCATTGCACACCAACCTGGGTGACAGAGCGAGACTCTGTCTCAAAAAAAAAAAAAGAAGAAGAAAGAAAAATGGGTCCCCCCTCCCCAATCTGAGAGTCTCAGAATCAAATTCCTGAGGAGGAAGTGAGAACCTTTAACAGTTAACATGTATGCACAGTAAAGCCCGAAACCGCACGTTAGGTCTTTCTGCCTTTAGACCCGCATGTTGCCTGCCCATTCTTCCTCTAGGAAATCTGGCACCGGGTTTTTTCTGGGTAATAAGAGCGGGGCTTCAACTCCCTAGCGCTCCTCCAGCTGCTGGAATCTCCCCGGCCTCCAACACTTCTGCTAGACCTGCGTCTGCCCAGGGAAACTTTGAAGTTCCCTTCGGAACCTCGCAGGCTGACAAGCAAGTCAGAGAGATGGGTGGAGGAGGTTGCCATGGAGACAGGTCCAGGGCCAGAGACGCGGGAGGGGGAGGCCGCAGGTCGGGCTCCGATTGGCTCTGCGGGCGCGCAGCGTTCCCCCGGCGCACATGCGCAGTGGCGCCGAGGCGAGGTCGCGGCGAAGCAGAGGCGCTGGGGCTTCTGGGCCGGGTTTCCCAGGACCGGGCTGGAACGTGCAGCTCCTGGCCGGGCCACGCTCTGCTTTGCTGGGAAGGGAAGTGGCGGAGCCCGAGGACCCGCTGCCGCGCGGGACTGAGCCGGCCACGCAGGCGCCCGTGCCAGCGCCGCCATTGTTGCCTGTGGCCTTAGGGCCGCTCCGGCTGCCCGTCGGCCGGGTCCCAGCGACAGGTATTGATGTCCGGGCGCCGCGCGCGAGTGTCCGCGCGGTCAGTGACAGCCCGAGCCCGTCCACGCGCGGGCGCCTGTGCTCGTGGCCTGCGGGAGGGCAAAGACGGGGTGGAGGCTGCTGTGGGCCCAGTCCCAGCGTTGCGTGTCGCAGGGTCCCCTACTCCCCCGCTGCCCTCGCCCTCGACCCTGCGGCTGAGGAGGAGTAAGAGGCAAAAGGACTTGGCCGGGAAGGGGCGGCGACAGGAGGCCAGGCGAGGCTGTCGCATCTCCTTTGCAGGGCCTTGTAAACAGTTGGCTTTGGCAGCACGACTGTGCCTGAGCAGGGCTCGGAGCTGCAGCCTGGGCACAGGTAGTGTCTGTTCTCCAGATCAGGCCAGTTCTAACGTTGCCTTCGAGAATCCTGGTTTCGAATATATCCTTAAGGAACTGTCTCCTGTAGACGCACGTAAAGGGCTTCACGTCGCACCAACCTCTTCTACTCTTTTCCAGTCCAACCCGCTGTCTTCCCAGCCCTTTGATAGTGACAAGCTAGAGTCGGCTGGCATTAACATGCAAAGCAGATAAATGGCTCGCCCTTTCCCTTGACAGTTCCCTTGGGAACCTTGAGCACTGTATTAAGAAGAAATTCTCCTAGTTTCTTCCAAGTAACAGATTTGCTCTGTTATTATCGAGAGCCCGTTCAGTCATTACAGCTTCTGTAACATCAGTGACTAAAATAATGAAACTATTTTGTCTATAAAAATGTTTAATTTTGTTTCAATAGGTTAGAAGTTTAATGTGTCATTTTGCTTAGATTGTTTGAGTCATTGCCTCTGACACTACTTTTTTAATAGCAGCTCCATCCCCCACTAACCCGAAGCAGATTGCAGCTCCCTTACAAGTCTAAGGATATAGGGGAGGAAAACAAGGTGAAGCTTACGTTTGTTCATCTAAGCACACTGCGAGTGTTTCTGTGTGTATATATGTATAGTAGAGCATGCAAGAATTCTTGACCTTGTGGTCCCTGCTTGTGTTTCAGGGTCTCTTATCCATCCCTGCAAGTTCTGGGCTCAGAATTTGTCACTAAGGCTGCTAACTCTACCTTGATTCTGTTCTGCCCTCGGCTGCAGCAGCCTTTGATATAGTGTCCTTGTGACTCTAGCATGAGACTTCAAGCAGTTGCCTCACTACTGGAGAAATAAAGGATATTGCCAGATTGACTCACCTGTCTGTAGCAATGTTAGTCTCGAGCAAGAGGATGAACAGCTCTTCACGTTCCCAAATCCTTCTAAGGTGGAAGTCAGACAAGGCTCAGAGTGGACCCTACCATGTTGAGAAGGAAATCCTTACTTCGAGATTCTTACGTGACACTGAGACCTGTCGACAGAATTTTAGGAATTTTCCATACCCAGACCTGGCTGGTCCTCGAAAGGCATTGAGTCAACTCCGAGAGCTCTGCCTTAAGTGGCTGAGACCTGAGATTCACTCAAAGGAACAAATTTTGGAACTGCTGGTGCTGGAGCAATTCCTGACCATCCTGCCTGGTGAGGTTAGGACTTGGGTAAAGTCCCAATATCCAGAGAGCAGCGAGGAAGCAGTGACTCTGGTGGAGGATTTGACTCAGATTCTAGAAGAGGAAGGTGAGAATCATAGAGCAGAGAGGGGAGGAATCCCTGGGTGGTTAAAGAAGACAACTAGCACATCTGAGCAGCTCTTTAAAGAAATTGGGGAGAACACTGAGAGGTCCAGGATGCATTTTTTAAAAAGAAAGAAATTGGGGAGAACGAAGTTTGGTGAGTCAGAACAAGGCTTTAACATGAGCTCCATCCTGCATCGTGTTCTCCTTCCAGATTGGTTGGGAGCAAACACACATTATCTAAACCCCCCTGGAAAAATATCTTGAAAGAGTGACCAGGCGCAACCAAATTACCACTGTGTGAGCCTTCAGAAAGTATCTGCAGAGGTTTGCACCATTCTACTAACAAATCATCTGTTTTGTGAATAGAATTTTACAATAAAATACTTCCAGTAAAGGAAGAAAGGGTTGAGAAAACATCCCTTTATTAAGAGACAACTCACAAAATTAATATCACATAAGGATTTAGTTAAAATGTGAATTTTGGGCCGGGTGCGGTGGCTCACGCCTGTAATCCCAGCACTTTGGGAGGCTGAGGTGGGCAGATCTCCTGAGATCAGGAGTTCCAGACCAGCCTGACCAATATGGTGAAACCCTGTTGCTACTATAAATACAAAAATTAGTCAGGCGTATAGCGCAAGCCTGTAGTCCCAGCTGCTCGGGAGGCTGAGGCAGGAGAATCACTTGAACCTGAGAAGCAGAGGTTGCAGTGAGCCCAGATTACTCCACTGCACTCCAGTCTGGGTAACAGAGCAAGGCTCTTTCTCAAAAAAAAAAAAAAAAAAAGCCAGGTATGGTGGCTCACACCTGTAATCCCAGCACTTTGGGAGGCTGAGGCAGGCAGATCGCGAGGTCAGAAGTTCCAGACCAGCCTGACCAAAATGCTGAAACCCCGTCTCTACCAAAAATACAAAAATTAGCCGGGCATGGTGGTGCAAGCCTTAGTCCCAACTACTCAGGAGGCTGAGGCAGGAGAATCACTTGAGCCCAGGAGGCAGAGGTTGCAGTGAGCTGAGATCGCACCACTGTACTCCAGCCTGGGCGACAGAGCGAGACTCCATCTCAAAAAAAAAAGAAAAAAAAAAAGTGAATTTTGTTCATACTTTTAAGATTTTTAGAGCAAGCTTGTTTTCGAAGTCTGTTTTGATGTCTTAGGACAAGTCATTGGCCCTTTCCTCTGATGCTTTGAAGTAGGAGTGCTGTTTTTGGTTTCCTTCTTAATTCTCAATTTAAGAAAGTGTAGGCATCCATTTGGTGAGGGGTTTCCTAAGCTATTCAAAAAGGACTAATCTCCTTCATGACCTCTTTCTCTTCTCTAGCTCCTCAAAACTCTACCCTTTCCCAAGATACCCCAGAGGAAGACCCCAGAGGAAAACATGCTTTCCAGGCAGGGTGGCTAAATGACTTGGTGACCAAAGTGAGTTTGTCTGTCTTTTCTAATTTTAAAATGCCTTCTTAGTGTGTGAGGACATTTTCTGTCCTGGCCCTGTAACTGCTGTGCCCCCAAAAGCTCTATCAAGGACTTAAGCCTCAGTTTCTCTCCTATGTTGTCTTTGTCTGTTAATGTAGGTAAATGTACAGTAAAGAAAAGGGGCTTCCATTGCCTTCCCTTGATGCATCTTTCCTTACTTTGACTTTGTCAACAATATCACATATGGGATACGGGATTGACCTCCACAGCCAGATGGATTTAGGTTTTGGTTCCTGGCTCTACCACTGAAACTGCAGTTTGGGACAAGAAACTTAACCACTCTTAGCCTGAGTTATTCTACTCTCATAAATAGAATTTATCTCTTAGATTGTGAGTATTAAATTTTATGAGACTTGTAGTTGGGCTGGATTACAGTTAAGCAATTAATAGACAATTGTTGCTATTATTTTTCCTCATTACCCACGTAGTTAAAGGCCATGCATTCTGTGATATTACTGTTGATCATGAGTCCGTATATATTTTTGAGACAGAGTCTCACTCTATCACCCAGGCTGGAGTGTAGTGGCATGATCTTGGCTCACTGTAGCCTCCACCTCCTGGGTTTAAGCAATTTTTGTACCACAGCCTCTGGAGTAGCTGGGGTTACAGGTGCATGCCACCACGCCAGGCTAATTTTTGCATTTCTAGTAGAGACAGGGTTTCGCCATTGTTTGTCAGACTGGTCTTGAACTCCTGACCTCAGGTAACCCAACCACCTTGGCCTCCCAAAGTGCTGAGATTACAGGCATGAGCCACCACACCCGGCCATGAATCTAAATTTTACAGAATAGCAACTTCAGCTACCTTAAGATAAATACACTGTAAAACTATAACTGGTCTTTCTGAAATTGGAAAGCCTTTGGTAACTAAGTTAAAATGATTATTCATTGATGATGTGAACCTTTACCTGCAAAACCTAACAAAATCAGGGGAAAAACTGTTAAAAACACTAAGAAAAATGGGATAATATGACTCTCCAGAAAATGACATGAAAAAATTAATCACATATATATATACATATATAAACACACACACACATACACATATATATATACACACATGTAGAAATCAGATAGGTGATAAAATGAAATAAATGCTTCCAGTATCAAAACCCCCCAAAAAGCTTAAAATATGTAAAACTAAGCATAATATAAATATTATATAAATATTGTAGTACTTTCATGTCTAATATTTTGTAGAACATGAAAGAAACCTTGTATATTATAAAGTCATCAGTCCTCCCTAAGTTATAAACCTAATAGAATTTTTAAATCTCAGTATGATTTAAAAGAAAAAAAAATTTTAAGAGATGGGATCTCACTGTGTTGCCCAGGCTGTTCTTAAATTCTGGTCTCAAAGTGATCCTCCTGCCTTGGCTTCCCAAAGTGCTAGGATTATAGGCATGAGCCACTACACCTGGCCTCCTTTCATACAGTTATATGAAAAAGTAAACGTGTGGCTGGGCACGGTGGCTCATGCCTGTCATCTCAGCTGTCATCCCAGCACTTTGGGAGGCTGAGGAGGGTGAATCACCTGAGATCAGGAGTTTGAAACCAGCCTGGCTGATGTGGCAAAACCCTATCTCTACTAAAAATACAAAAATCAGTTGGGTGTGGTGGCTCATGGCTATAATCCCAGCTACTTGGGAAGCCAGTGCACTCTAGCCGGGTGACAGAGCAAGACCTCGTCTCAAAAAAAAAAAGAGAAGCATGTAAAATAATATTACATTTTTAACAAAAGAAGAGCAAACAAGAAAGGCACTAACCTTAACAGACTGTGAAATGTATCTAACAGTATAGCAATTCAACACTGTGTTTATTGTATTTTTAAAAAGAAAGACTGCATTTAATCACAGAACACATAAAACTATCTTAACATTTTAATTATAACATGTTGGATTTATTCTTAAAGCATAGCTTGAAAAGCAAATCATTCAACTCTATGTCATCTGTGTTTAAAATTTAAAACTCAAGTCAGGCATGGCGGGCCACTCCTGTAATCCCAACACTTTGGGAAGCTGAGGTGAAGGAGCACTTGAGTTCAGGAGTTTGAGAACAGCCTGGGCAGCATAGCAAAATCCCATCTCTACACAAAAATTTAAAAATTAGCCAGATGTGGTGGTGCACACCTGTAGTCCCAGCTACTTGGGAGGGTGAGGTGAGAGGATCACTTCTGCCCAGGAACTCGAGGCTGCAGTGAACAATGATTGTACCATTACACTCCAGCCCAGGTGACCAAGTAAGACCCTGTCTCTTTTAAAAATGATAAAAATAAATATTTTCCTTTTAAAAATGGAGCTGCCACCAATGCATGCACTAGTCCAGCACAAGCGACAGAGACCATTTCTTTTAAAAATAATAAACCTTTTCTTTTTAAAAAACAGAGCTGCCACCAATGCATGCACGAGTGCCAAGTGAAAATAAATTCCACTCTATTTTCAGACTTCCTTTTAGGGTTATGGAGAGATGCTGTGGCGCTGTCCATATGTTGGGGGAGGTTTTGACTAGACAACTTCTAGGATCCTACTAAAGCTTAAGATTCTGTGACGCTCCCCCAGCATACATACACCCAGTGTTATAAGTGTCCCCTTTGCCATTAGTTCTTGAACTGAGTTAAGTTACATTTGATATTTTAGGAATCAATGACATTCAAAGATGTGGCTGTAGACATCACCCAGGAGGACTGGGAGTTAATGCGTCCTGTACAAAAGGAATTATACAAGACTGTGACGTTACAGAACTATTGGAACATGGTTTCTCTGGGTAAGAATCATTTACAGCCCTCCTCCTCCTAGCCTGTCCATCAGGGTATCTTTCTTACACCTGTTGTTAAAAATGGGTTGGGCCTCACACATGCTTAGCTAAAAATGGGGTCTAGAAATAAATGTTGTTCCTCATTCTAGCACAAAAGCAACTATTTTACTCCCATTTCCCAAATGAAAGGTTTTTAAGTGAGAAAACATTGGAAACAGATGCACAGCTTTATAGTGCCGCCACCCGATGCTGCCTTGCTTGGTCTTTGCTACTCTAAGGGAAGGTTTCTTCCTTCATGATCTCCATGCACATATCCTCTTCAGTGACAGGAAATTTTTATCCTATCTCCGGAAAGGACAACAACCAAAAGCCTAATTCTTTTATTAGATCATGTCCATGAACTATTGTTTTCCTACAGAGGTCCATACTCCCAGATATGTAGAAGTTTGGTAATAAAACTTCAAGCAACTGTTTATCTCCAGGATAAAATTTATTATATTCCTCCTGAACAGGACTTACAGTGTACAGACCAACTGTGATTCCCATATTGGAAGAACCATGGATGGTGATAAAAGAAATTTTAGAAGGCCCTAGTCCAGGTGAGAAACAAAAAAGCACATGAGCTTCTTTGCATTTCAGAATCTATATCCTAAGTGTGGTGAGATATGCTTTTTAAATATGATCAGCATACTTTCTGCAAAGGCATTCAAGCCTGTCAAGAACACTAAGCTGTTTGGCATTGCTTCCTTATGGAGGTCTCTTCAGGAAGAGTTTCCAAGCATCACTATTAGACCTTTCCCCTGTGTCTCTTCTCATTTTCTCATTCTACAGGACCTCTAGATCCCATCTCTTAGAGCTTTGTATAGGGCTTTCATTGTGCCATTTTCCCCTTCCTCTATTTTTAAACATACATGAATGCCCCCTAAAAATTTCAATGTTAAACCTTCTTCTTTTTGAGTTTCTTTTATTCTGTTCACTGACAAATTCCTACATCCCCCTGCCTTCATCTTTTGTAAAACATTCCTTCCTTATTTTTAAATTATTTAAAAATATAATATATTCATAAGATTCAAAATTCTTAAAAATGTGTAAAGCAAAATGTATATCAAATGCCCCACCTGAGTATCATATTTACCTAGTTCCTCCATCTCCCCAGCATGTGACTGCTGTAGAAGTCTGTCCTCCCACATAAGTAGAAGTCAGGTAATAAAGTGTGAACAATTGTTGTCTCCAGGTTAAAGTTGTGGCAATAAGCAGTTATTTGAAATGTTTATTATGCTTTGGATTTTTTACATGTGAAGTCAATATAAAAATAGTTTTTCTCCATTTCTAATATGAATGGTAGCATATTATACATACTGTTTTGTACCTTGCTTTTTAACTTAACAGTATATCTTGAAAAGCCTTCCAAATGAGTATATAAAGAGCTTCCTCATTTCTTTTTTTATATCTTCATCATATTTTTATTATTGAACTTGTTTCTTATTCATGGACTTTTCATTCTCATTCCTTGCTTCTTCCCTCTGCAATAACTTCATTTAAAAGACTTAAAACCTACACATGCACAATACATTCATCACTTATGTACTGTCTACCTGGAATCACTAATTATCATCATTTAACCACTTTTGCTGTATCTCTATACAAAGGTTTTTGCACTGAACCATTTTACAGTTAGTTACAGGCATCATGACAACCCCTAAATATCTCTTAAGAACATGAACATTTTTCTACATAAACATGATACCATTCTCTCACTCTAGATATTTAACATTTATGTGAGTGTTATTAAATGTATAGTCAAATATTCAGATTTTCCCAACTGTCCCAAAAACATCCTTGATAGATGTTTTTCTCCCCAATACAGGATCCAGTCAGGAATCACATGTTCTCCTTGCTTATCTCCTATCTTTAGTCCTTTTTAACAGAGAAATGTTCCCCAGACTTTTTTCTGTTTTTAAAAAAGTCTTTCATTACACCGACATTTTTTAAAGGATCCAAGCCAGTTTTGTTTTGTTTTTTAATAACCTACAGTTTAGATTTGCCTCATTGTTTCCTAAAGATAGTCAGGTTAAACATTCTGCCAAGAATATTTGAAAGGTGATGTGTATCTTCCATTGCATTTCTTCAGGAGGTACATAATGGTAATTTGTCTCATCATTGGAGATGCTCAGTTTGCTTAAGGTGGTGTCTACAAAGTCTCTCCTCTTTAAAGGTGCATTCTTTGTGACTAATAAGTAGTCTGTGGAGTGATACTTTGCAGTCACATGACTATTCCTTGATAATTCTTTACTTAAATTTTTTAGCATCCATTTGATGGTCTTTGTAATATTATATTGCTGGTTGCAAAATGGTGATTTTCTTTTTCTTTTTCTTTTTTTTTTTTGAGACTGAGTTTTGCCCTTGGTGCCCAGGCTGGTGTGCAATGGTATGATCTCCTCTCACTGCAACCTCCACCTCCTGGGTTCAAGCAATTCTACTGCCTCAGTCTCTGCAGTAGCTGGGATTATAGGCACATGCCACCACATCCAGCTAATTTTTATATTTTTAGTAGAGATGAGGTTTCACCATGTTGGCCAGGCTGGTCTTGAATCCTGATCTCAGGTGATCCTCCCGCCTTGGCCTCCCAAAGTGCTGGGATTATAGGCATGAGCCACTGCCTCCAGCCACAAAATGGTGATTTTCTAATTCAGTCATCTTTTCTAAATGATTAATAGCATTCTTCATTAAAGAACAGCCCTTCTGGCTGGGCATGGTGGCTCTCACTTGTAATCCTAGCACCTTGGGATGCCGAGGTGGGTGGATCATGAGGTTAGGAGTTCGAGACCAGCCAACACTGTGAAACCCCATCTCTACTAAAACTACAAAAATTAGCTGGGTGTGGTGGCAGGCACCTGTAACCCAGCTAATTGGGAGGCTGAAACAGAAGAATCACTTGAACCTGGGAGGCAGACGCAGAGGTTGCAGTGAGCCAAAGTTGCGCCACTGCACGACCTGAACTACAGAGCTAGACTTTGTCTCAAAAAAATAGCTCTTCCTCCCCCACCCCATTTTTATGTATATACCACTGTGAACTAATGGAAAATTTAAAAATTCAATGTATTATTAGTCGGCCAGGCACAGTGGCTCACTCCCATAATCCGAACACTTTAGGAGGCCAAGGCAGGTGGATCACTTGAGGTCAGGAGTTTGAGACCAGCCTGGCCAACACAGTAAAACCCTGTCTTTACTAAAAACAATAATAATAATAATAGAAAAATTAGCTGGGCATGGTGGTGCATGCTTGTAGTCCCAGCTACTCGAGAGGCCGAGGCAGGAGAATCACTTGGACTAAGGAGGCGGAGATTGCAGTGAGCCAAGTTTGCGCTACTGCACTGCAGCCTGGGCAACACAGCGAGACTCTGTCTTAAAGAAAAAAGTGTGTGTGTGTGTGTATCTATTATTAGTCCATTAATTCCAGTTTTTACATTTTGTTTTGTGTTTTTGATGCTCAGTTGTCCCAAATTTGGGCACCCCGACATTAAAAGAAGTTCAGCATCTTTTTGACATGTCCCAATAAGTTTTCAACCATTTCCTTGCTTTCTGGCAAAGCCAGATGTTCTTTAGGCTCACCTTATGCTTACCTTAGATTTGGAATTTCTCCAAGGAACGCTGATTCATTTTAGTACGGAATGGTACTAAAAAACTAAGATCTGGGCCATAAATGTATTCACTGTTTATTCAGTGTGAATACATTTATGTATATATTTCTATATAGTTTTTTACTTCTGAGCCGTGTGTGACTTCTGAGCCATAAATGTATTCACATTGCTTCTGTTCAGTCGATAGAGCTAGGAAGTATGTGTGTGTGTTAGTTATTTTAAGTCATGAGTTCATACTTAAACTCCAATTAAAATCTAACACTACAAGGATATTCCATTTTATATATTCCCATATTCCATTTTGTATCTCCTTTCTCATACAATGAATAATCTGGTTTCCAATAACATCAGTATATTTACTTATTTGCTATATCATATGTTACGCACAAAAATAGTTTCAAATTTATATCAGTACTACTACCAATAGAAACAGTCTAGAAAGTTTAAGATTTCTTTGAGCCGGGCACGGTGGCTCACGCCTGTAATCCCAGCACTTTGGGAGGCCGAGGCGGGTGGATCACGAGGTCAAGAGATCGAGACCATCCTGGTCAACACAGTGAAACCCCATCTCTACTAAAACTACAAAAAATCAGCTGGACATGGTGGTGCGTGCCTGTAATCCCAGCTACTCAGGAGGCTGAGGCAGGAGAATTGCCTGAACCCAGAAGGCGGAGGTTGCGGTGAGCCGAGATAGCACCATTGCACTCCAGCCTGGGTAACAAGAGCGAAACTCCGTCTCCAAAAAAAAAAAAAAAAAAGATTTCTTTGAAGTCTTTTTTGTTCATAAATTATATACCACTAAGGATAGTGTTTTCTTGCTTTTAAAAATTGTTTTTAATTTACATTTTTGAGTATGTAAAAATAGTAACATGGCTCAGAAGTCAAAAACTATATAGAAAGGTATACATTTCTATTCCCTCTGCCCTCTTCCCACCTACTCCCAAAAGGTAACCATGATCATCGGTTTCTGGTGAATCCTTCCAATGTTTCTCTTTGCAAAAATAAGTTATTAATACATTATCTTCTTTTGCAGACAAAAGAAGTATACTATGTATATTCTTGCATCTTGCTTTGTTATTCCATTTTTTATTTTATTATTTTATTTTATCTTATTGCTATTGTTGAGACAGAGTCTCACTCTTGTCACACAAGCTGGAGTGCAGTAGTGTCATCGTGACTCACTGTAACCTCCATCTCCTGCGTTCAAGCTATCTTTCCACCTCAGTCTCCTGAATAGCTGGGACTACAGGTGTGTGCCACCACACCCAGATAATTTTTGTATTTTTTGCAGAGGCAGGGTCTTGCCATGTTTCCAATGCTGGTCTCAATTTCTGGACTCAAGCGATCTGCCTACCTTGGCCTCCAGTGCTGAGATCACAGGTGTAAGCCACACCTCCCAGCCGTTACTCCATTTTTAAAATCTAAAACACTGACTTTTTGTATGTCCATCAACATGGATGCTAATATACAACAATAATGACAGATATGATATGGCCAGGCACAGTGGCTCACACCTGTAACCCCAGCACTTTGGGAGGCTGAGGCAGGCAGATCGTTTGAACTCAGAAATTTGAGACAAGCCTGGCAACACAGTGAGACCTATCTCTACTGAAAATTTTTTTTAATTAACTGGTGGTGGTGATACATGACTATAATCCCAGCTACTAAGGAGGCTAAAGTGAGAGGAAACAGGCCCGGGAGATCAAGGCTGCCGTGAGCCAAGATCACACCACTATATTCCTACCTGGGTGACACGGCAAGACCCTGTATAGAAAAAAAAAGAAAGATATACTACCTTAGAGTGAATTGTTTCACTTTTTTAAAAAAGTAACTTTGGTCATTAGGTATTTAAAGGATCATAAACTTTAAAAGCTAATTCTTCTCTATAATTTATGGCCTTATATGCCTTAGTTTGAAAAATACAAAATACACCTGCAGTACACCAAATTCTCTGGGGAACAAATTCACCACACTCAGGGCACTGAGAAAACATACGTAATGTAATGGATATAAGCCTAGACTAGAGTCAGGATAATCTTTTGGGTGATGCTTGCAGTCTGAAATCACTTTAACTTCTCAATATCAAGAGTTTTTTGGATTATCAGAGAGCACAAATTTGGGCTGTGAATCCTGAAGAAAGGGCAATGTATGGTTATACATATGGAGAGGGGAGATTTTTCTCCCTCCAAAAAGTACCAAGACTGAGAAAAACAGTTTCTTTTTTCCTTCTGTAGAGTTGAGATTTTGGGGTTTTGTTTTTCTAGCCTAGCATGTTCTTATATCATGTGTAATTCTCTGTTCAAGGGACTGCTGTCAGCCTCCTCTCCTGGGCTGGGCCCCAGGCTTTGTCTTCTGGCCCCAGAGTCCCTTGTACCCTCAAAGTGGAAGCTTAAGCTCATCAAACATGATCAAGGAGCTAGCTCAGGCAGTCAACTTGAGCTGTTACTTACGTCTTGCCTTCCTGCTTTTACTTAATTTTTGGCCTGTGAAGCTTTTGCTTTCTTGCCAGCTTAAAGATATATAGTAAGTTGAACCAAGCTTTGGTTAGGGTACTTCAGGAGGTAGGTTAGTCACACTTCAGGAAATGGAAACTTTGGTAATTAACAAACAGATTAGTAGTGTTGGTTCGATGGCCATTACTGTCCCACGTCTTTTATGGGTGTTTTATGTTTATATTTTATGGTTTATAGTTCTTTATACAGTACTTTGCCATTCTTTGAGGTCAATTCAAGTCACACCTCCCCCACTTCCCTTGATTACCTGAGTCAACATTAATCTCCTCTATTTAGAAATATTATGCCACTTTTGTCCTTATTAACCAACAGATAAAACTTCTAACCAATCCTTTCTGGTTTTAGTGATAAACACATATTTAAGCCCTGTTTAATGATCTGTTTCAGAATTTTTAGTAAACTAATTTGTTTAAAACTGTGCATTTATAGTAGCAATTTATTCATGATTATCATTTAGTCTTGCCATTTTAAGCTTATTAATTATAACTTTACTTTTCAGTTAGTTACAATCTGTCATAGGTTGATACTGATTACATAGAAGTTGAACTCTACGTCTGGTATTATCTCATCTTTTTTGTATATAGTCACACCTACTTGTACAGTCCATTCACATTCTCATTTTTTTCTGGGGAGGGGAATAACAAATCCTGGTTTGAGAAAGTTCATAATTTTTTTTCTTTCAAAAAAGTAACCACTATTTTCCATTTTAAAAAAATTGTTTCTTATTTTGCTACATCTACTGGAATGGAATATAACTACTTACTAGTACTAAATAGCAATAAAAGTAATATAGCAAATTTATTGAAAATTAGAAACGAGAAAACCCATAATATCATTATTAGCATTTTGGTAATGTTTTTCCACTTCTGATGTGTTTTCATGCTTGTTATGATACTTGTTTCATTTAACATCACTCCTAAACATTTCTGATGTAAACTATGATTTTGTATTTGAATAAAAGTTTTAAAAAGTAGTTCATAAATTCAAGCAGTACAAGGAAGCAAATAATAAGTGTCTCTCTTCCTTCAATCATGACCAGGACCTTCTCCCCTTAGATTATTTGTGTGTGTGTGTGTGTGTGTGTGTGTGTCTGTCTGTCTGTCTTATGTCTGTCTGTAGCACAAATAGCGTATCTTTACACAGATAGGATCTTGCTCCACTTTTTTTAATACGCCTGCTTTTTTTTTCGCTTAGTGTGCCCCGCACACCTTTTCATGTCAATGTACCTAGACCTACCTAATTATCAGTTATCAATATTCTGTTATTCCTTATTCTATTAATAACTAGTCCCTTATTGATGGATGTGGCTGTCATTTTTAATTACTGCATATTACTCAACTGAATGGATATGTTTGTAAAGGTATTATACTGTGACCTGCCTCTTAGAAAGTTTCTGAAGTATTTAGTACCATTTTTGCTGTATTATAAATTATATATTTGATTAAATTACATTATATAATTCTTGATATTTGCAAGTTATATGTTTCTCACCTGGTTTCAAAGGAAAAAGAGGTTGTAACTTTAATTCTGTGCTAAATAATTATACAAGAAATCTAATAGGCACCAACAAATGCATATTTGGCTGCCTTATTACAGCCAGGTTAGTTTGAGGGTCAACCTTTTTGGTTTGGGGGGTGTGTGTATGTGTGTGTGTGTTTGGTTATGTGTGTGCATGCATATCCATGTATGCTTTCATTTGAGTTCACCTTTTTACATGTGAATGTCATTTATTTTACTATGTCATTTGAGTTGCCACCATATCCAGTCTCAGATCATTTTCTAAAGGAAATGTAAAAGAAGAATAAGCTATTTCCAGAATTTTCGTCTAGGTTGGAAATATAAGAAGTGTACAGAATTGTGAATTACAGTCATGTGCTGCATGATACTTTGGTCAATGACATACTGCATGTATGACAGTGGTCCCATAAGATGACAATGAAGCATATACAGAAACCTGGTATATGAGCACTTGATATTCATATTGCAGCTCAAGTGAGGGAATTGACTGATTCTCAATAATAGTTCCGGGACATTTAGCTTTCCATATTTTAAAAAAGAAATATATATATGTAAAATCTAGGTTCATATAAGTATACTCTGTGATGATCACACAACAATTAAATCAACCAACACCACATTTCTCAGAACATATTCCCATCGTTGAGCAATGCATGACTGTACTTGTATAAAGCCAAGTTATGTCATGAGCTCAATACTATATTAGGTTGAACCATATAAAGTTCCTGACATTCAGCCATTTTGACCTATAAAAAAGGCAACTTCCTATATGATTCAACCTAATCTGTATTTTATTTTGTTGTTTTGGAGACAGGCCTTGCTCTGTCATCCAGGCTAGAGTGCAGTGGGGCTATCATGGGTCACTGCAACCTCCACCTCCCGGTTTCAAGCAATTCTCATACCTCAGACTCCCAGGTAGGTGGGACTACAGGCACACACTACCACATCTGGCTGATTTTTTGTATTTTTGGTAGAGACAGAGTTTCGCCATGGTGGCCAGGCTGGTTTCAAACTCCTGACCTCAAGTGATCTACCTGCCTTGGCCTCCCAAAGTTCTGGGATTACAGAAGTAAGCCACAGAGCCTGGCCTTTAATCTGTATTTTAAATTCAGAGAAGCATCGTAGAGAGAAACATGAACTGGACTATAAACACCTTTTTTAGTAGGTGGAGAAATCATCATGAAAGAAGGCCTAGAGAGGAGGATTAGCATGGTATCTAGAGAAAATTATAAAGAAGTAGTGGATAACTTTAGTCCGGGTGTGGCAGCTCATGCCTGTAACCCTAGCACTTTGGGAGGCTGAGGCAGGCGAATCACCTAAGGCCAGGTGTTCAAGGCCAGCCTGGCCAACGTCGTGAAACCCTGTCTCTATTAAAAATACAAAAATTAGCTGAGTGTGGTAGTTCATGCCTGTAATCCCAGCTACTTGGGAGTCTGAGGCACAAGAATCACTTGAACCTGGGAGGCAGAGGTTGCAGTGAGCCAAGATGGTGCTGAGTCTGTCTCAAAAAAAAAAAAAAAAAAAAAAAGGGGGTGAAAGCTGTCTAAAAAAAAAAAAAAAAAAAAAGTAGTGAATAATTTAAATTAAGCTGAGTATGAGTTGTAGTATCAGAAAGAATAGAATAGAAAGGCCTGAATTATTTTGGGACTGAATGCCAAGTGGAGGTATTTTAAACTTTTTTTCTTTTTTTTTTTTTTTAAACTTTTTTTCTTTAGCTTTAATCCTTTAAGCCACTAGTCCTTAAACTTTGGTATATAGAAAAACTGCTGGGCTTAATAAAACAAATTACTCAGCTCTGCCACCAAAGTTTCTGATTCAGTATGTCTGGGTGACACCCAATAATGTTAACACATTTCTAGATGATAATGATGCTTATGCTGCTAGTGTGAGGACTGTACTTTTAAGAACCGTTGTTTAGGCTGTGGGAGATTTACTAGAGATACTTGAGCATAGAAAGCACTCAGTGAAATTGCTTTAGGAATATTATGTGGGATTGTGCAGAGCAGATTGGAAGAGAGAGTGATGAGAGTCAGCATGTCTACTTTATGAACGCATTACATAAATTAATCCATGAGGCCATCCCAGTTATTCCACAAAGTGTTATCACTGTTTTGACTTCTCTTAGCTCTGTCACCTGACCTAATCTGTTTTATTCCCTCTGTGCCCATGTTGAATATGAAGAACCTGTTTTCACCAACTTAGTCTCCCTTTTTTTTTTTTTGCCCTTTTTGTCTCCTTTCCCAAGTTTTAAAGACCATGATGATGAGGTTTTCAGAGCTGCTCTCTTTGGGCATTTTATCCATGTTTATTATTTTGTTTCTATTTTACCAGTTTCCTTTCTCCAAGTAAATGAAGACTTTTGTATTCTTTTTATTTCAGAATGGGAAACTAAAGCCCAAGCAGAGGATATGTCTAAACCCACAAAAGAAGAAACCAAGACCATCAAATTAGAAGACTCATATGACTATGATGACAGATTAGGGAGGCGAGCCACAGGAGGCTTCTGGAAGATTCCCACTAATGAAAGAGGCTTCAGTTTGAAGTCAGTCCTTTCACAAGAAGATGATCCCACAGAAGAATGTCTTAGTAAATATGATATATATAGAAATAATTTTGAAAAGCATTCAAACCTAATTGTACAGTTTGATACCCAGTTAGATAATAAAACTCTGTATAATGAAGGCAGGGCAACCTTCAGTCATGTCTCGTATGGTATTGTACATAGGAAAATACTTCCTGGAGAGAAGCCTTACAAGTGTAATGTGTGTGGGAAAAAATTTAGAAAATATCCATCCCTCCTGAAACACCAAAGCACCCATGCCAAAGAGAAATCATATGAATGTGAAGAATGTGGGAAAGAGTTTAGGCATATCTCATCCCTCATTGCACATCAGAGAATGCACACTGGAGAAAAACCATATGAATGCCACCAGTGTGGTAAAGCCTTCAGCCAGCGTGCACACCTTACTATACATCAGAGAATTCATACTGGAGAGAAACCTTATAAGTGTGATGACTGTGGAAAAGACTTTAGTCAGCGTGCACACCTTACCATCCATCAAAGAACACATACTGGAGAGAAACCATATAAATGCTTGGAATGTGGTAAAACCTTCAGTCATAGTTCATCACTGATTAATCATCAGAGAGTTCATACTGGAGAAAAACCTTATATATGTAATGAATGTGGGAAGACTTTCAGTCAGAGTACACACCTCCTTCAGCATCAAAAAATACATACTGGGAAGAAACCATATAAATGCAATGAATGTTGGAAAGTGTTTAGTCAGAGTACTTACCTTATTCGACATCAGAGAATTCATTCTGGAGAGAAGTGTTATAAATGTAATGAATGCGGAAAAGCCTTTGCTCACTCCTCAACCCTTATTCAACATCAAACCACTCATACTGGAGAGAAATCATATATATGTAATATATGTGGGAAAGCCTTCAGCCAGAGTGCAAATCTTACTCAACATCATAGAACACATACTGGAGAGAAACCATATAAATGCAGTGTGTGTGGGAAAGCATTCAGCCAGAGTGTGCACCTTACTCAACATCAGAGGATTCATAATGGAGAAAAACCCTTTAAATGCAATATATGTGGGAAAGCATATAGACAAGGTGCAAATCTTACTCAGCATCAAAGGATTCATACTGGAGAGAAACCCTATAAATGTAATGAATGTGGGAAAGCTTTTATTTATTCCTCATCACTCAATCAACATCAGAGAACTCATACTGGAGAGAGACCCTATAAATGTAATGAATGTGATAAGGATTTTAGCCAGAGAACATGCCTTATTCAACACCAGAGAATTCACACAGGAGAGAAACCCTATGCATGTCGTATATGTGGTAAAACCTTCACGCAGAGTACAAACCTCATTCAGCATCAGCGTGTTCATACAGGTGCCAAACATCGTAATTAATGGATAAGGGAAACTTCATTTAGGTTTTACAACTTCATTTCAATATTATTTTGTGTGTTCTGTGTGTTAAAACATTGAGAAGAAATCCGAAGAAGTGCAATATGCTAGATACCACTCAGCAAAAGTATCAGAATTAGTGGTATGGATATAACCTATTTAGATTTAATGTGAAATTTAAGAAGAAAATTTGACTTCTTAACCTTTATTTGATATGAGTTTAATTCATTACAGAAAGAAACCCTGTGAAGGGTATTCAAAAACATAACTCATCAACTCTTTATTTCAAGTACAGTCATCCCTCAGTATACTCGGGGAATTGGTTCCAGGACCACCCATGTATACCAAAATCTACCCATACTCAAGTTGCACAGTCAGCCTGGCGGAACCTGTGTATATGTAAAGCCCTACATCTACGCAGGTTTCCCATCCCTGAATAATGTACTTTCAAACTCTGTTCAGTTGAACAAAAAAAAATCCAGTATAAGTGGATCTGTACAGTTCAAACATGTTGTTCAAGGGTCAACTGTACATCTTAATGAGGCCTTATGAGTATAACTTGGGAAAGTGTCCATCAAGTAGAGATTTCACACTAGAGAGTAATCTTAAAATTGCAGAAAAGAGAAAGCTGCTTTCAGGCGTTTTATTTTTTCCCAGCTTTGAAGCCTTAAAATATGTAAAGGATTCCCTCCTGTTTTACTTCCCCTTCTCCTGTTATGCCATAACTGCCATATGGAGCCAGTAGGTTTGAAAAAACAGTTGAAAGTATCTTAAAGATTTCTATGTGATCACTGTTTAGTTACACCTTCCCTCAGATACTGAAATATTAAAGGGAGGCTTAATGAAAGATATAGTAGAAACTAATGTGTATATAATATTAGATGTGTATAGTTAAACAGGCAAAAATTAAATGCCCCAAGTTTAAATGAATTTTTAATACATGTTAGCCTTGATTTCACTAGGTTATGATGTTCAAGGTCATCCTTATGGAAAAAACTAGGTATAAGGTATACAGTTCCCATTTTTTTCACCTGACTCCTAAATTTATATGTCAGCTTTCTCTGTAACTGTTTTACTATGGAAAGTTCATTTCTTCCATTGAAACACGTTTCTTGAGTATCTACTATGCTCAGGTCCCAAACTTCTTAATTGGATCCTTTCAAGGCTGGTTACAATGCTGAAAATCACAGGTGATTTACACAACAGAAAGATTTCTAGAGTAATGAGAAAGTGACGTGATATTTTGTCATGGAATGAGCATAAGCAACCTGCTAAAATGGGTTGCTAAATGGTACCTAGATCCCAAGAGAAGGTAGTGGAAGTAATGGTGCAGCTAAATAAATAATGTGAGAAAAAAATAAGTAATGGAAAGTAGATTTGGGTTCACTGGAGAATGTGGGCCAGAGAAGGTGAAATTTTAATGGAGTGAGGAAAAATACATAGATAATTGCTATAACATGAAAAATAATTGGACTTGCTTTGTCTGTGGAATGAAAATGGCTAAATAAAAAAGAATTCAGCCTGGTTATAAACTAAAAACAAAATGACTTATTTTTAAGGAATAAATGGAAGCCTGACACTCCTTCATACATAAAAGAAAAATAGAGATTACTCTTAACATGTCAGGAAAAAAATTAATTGTAAAAAGCACTGACACAGTAATCATTAAACAGTGATAACTGGGTGAGTTCTAAACATAGAAAGAAAACTGGCAGAAATGCAAATAGAAATAGGTAAAAAAAATACTATTGCATTTCATATTTATAGCATTCCACTACCAGAATATAAGGCCATATTCTGAGAACTGAGATTTCATTGTGCTCGTATTTGTTTTTCCAGTCCCTTGCATAATAGCGCATGGTCAATACATGGTTGAATTAATTAATTATTGAATGAATAAATTAGATAAATTATATGATTTAATTTATAATTAATTAGATAAATTAGATTTCAGTAATAAAGTAGAATTAACCGGCATGAAGTGAAAATTGGTATAACTAAAAATACTATTGTGCGTATATCAAAGAAATGTTCAACAAATAACATTTACTTGGGAACTGCTTAAAAATAGTGAATCTGATTTCATGGGGCATCTACACAGGAGATTTTCCCAAGCTAAATGAGGGGAAATTGATATCAATTCTGATACTATAAATACCAATTTAAGCATGTATTAACCATGCAACTTCCTTTGGACATTACTGTTTATAAAACTATCCTACAAACAGGTACTGAAGGTTAGACCCGGGATCCTAGCATCCTAAAGGCTATATTGCTGAGTGTTTTCTTTAAGAAACTTGATTTCCCTTTCTCTTACATTAGTTAACCTTGATTTCATAGTATTCTGCACAAAGTACAGGCTGCAGAATACTCAAACTGTGCTTATATAGTTATGTTTTTTAAAAAAAAAATAACAGTTTTTGAAAATCTTATTTTTTTTATGCTGCTTCATCCCTCACACAACACTTATTTCTCTTGGTTGAGCATGTGGCATGTTAAAGTCCATAGCATCTTTCTTTGTTTTACTGTATATTTCCTGCCTTGTATGTTTTATGTAAATAATGCATTTATAAAGTTTTCCACTGATACACAGAGGCAATTGATGCCCTTATAAAATAACAGATTAGTAATATTGGAGAACCCTAGATCTTTGTGTATTTTTCCCACTTTTACAGTTGTCTGACCCACAAATTATTCAGCAGTTTTTAGCAAATAGCCTTATTTTTCAGAACTTTTTATTGACCCACAAATTATTCAGCAGTTTTTAGCAAATAGCCTTATTTTTCAGAACTTTTTATTATGAGTTTTCAAATATACAGAAAGGTTTAAAAATAATAAAATGAACTGCATACCACCTAGATTTAAAAACCAACATTTTGCCATTTTTTTTTAAACAAACATTGGAAAGTAAGTTACAGACATGACATTTTCATCGCTAAATACTTAAGCATGCATCTCATAAAAATCAGGACAATCTTTACAGAACCACAATACAATTGCATACCTTAGAAAAAGGACAGTAATTCCCTAATATCTGAAGACCTAGTCTATGTTTAGATTTTCTTTGTTGATCCAGTCAGTTTTCACACATAGTATTTGATTTTTATGTCTGTTTCATCTATCTAGAACAGACCCCACTTTGGTTTTTCCTCTTTAAGAGAGCAGGTCAGTTGTCTTGAAGAATGTCTCACATTCAGGATTTAACTGATTATTTACATGTGGGTTGTTCCTGTACCCCTTGTAGTTTCCACAAATTGGAAGTTAGGGCAAAAGGCTTAATTGGATTCTTTAAACATTTTAATGATAACACCTGACAGATGTATTTCATAGTGCATCATATCAAAAGTCTCACTAATACCAGGTTGACTCACTATCAATGGATCACTCAGTTGAGGTGGTAACCACCATATCTTCCCAATATAAAGGTAGTTTTTCCTATTGCAATTAACAATTTGTGGAATGGCACTGGCAGTATATAGATATTTTGGTTGCCAACAACTTCTTACCTGGTAAAATGTAACCAACGGTGATCCTTGCCTGAATCCATTGTTTTATCAGTGTTTGCAAAATGACAGTTTTATAATTTTATTTTACATTTGTTGAGTAGCATTCTTGTATAGCCTTCCCTCATCAACTAGGAATGCACTAGAGGCAGAGTAAGGCTCAATTATTTTCCCTTAATTACCAGTGTTGGAGTTTAATTACCAGTAAAGAATTTGGTGCTCTCATCTGCAGTGATAACAGATGATTCAATGTGTTAACAGTCATTTATGCTCATTGTTTCTGATGTTCAGATTGTCCCAAATTTGGCCAGGTGCAACCCTTAAAGTAGCTCTTAATATCCTTTTGACATTCACCGTCTACTCTTTTATTGCCTTCCAACACAAGGTATAGCACCTAAATTGGAGAGAACACTTCCATGTTATGCATGCTAGAAAGCAACAAATTAGCTCCAAAAGACCTGTGACAAGGCCATCAGGAAATTTACAAGGGAATAGAGCTTATCAGTTAATCTGCCAAGTGGGTTAAGTAGAGGGCAATTAAGAGAGCAACTAGATGTATACCTAATCTATTACATGTCTTGATAAAATTATGGTATTTATAAGCTAATAGCCCTCCTTTCCCGTCACATCTCTTAAGGTAGGTTTCTGGTAAGATCTAAATATTAATCTTAAGGATCTGTTTCATGCAAATCTAAGTACTAGTTTTTCTTGCTAAACCTTTATTTGGGCTCTAAAACTTTAAGGCCGTTCTGTTTCATTCTTTGTCTTGTGGTGTCAGTTCATTTGCATGTGCCGGTAAATGTATTCTTACTCCTCTATTACTGTTATTCTCCCCGTGGCTCTATATTTCATCATAATTAGTAGCCCCTTAAAACACTATAATCATTAAAAATGGCAAGCATGTGCACTACAGTGATATGTACAAATGTATGTGTAAGTGTGTAAGCAGCATCAGGCCCTGCACTCTGTATGAATGGGAAAGTGAACCGCATGATGCTGAAGTATCTTGCTTGAGGTCATATGTCATATAATGACAGAATAAGGATTGGAACTGCATAGCTCCAGCACCTAGTTGAGTTCTCCTTGTAAAATAATGTTAAATGGAAATTCTGAGTACAAACAGTATGTACCTACAATTTTATAAAACTATGTATTTTTATGAGATTAGAGCACCAAAAATTTTTTAAACTGTTTTTGTCTTTTTTCCCATACAGTTTCTTTCTTTTTCATTTGTTTGTTTTAGGGAGCAGAGAGTTTAAAAGGCAATCAGGGGCAAGAAGGAAGGGAAAAGGAAGAAAGAAGAAGCTCCCCTGTACAGAGACAGAGGGAGGGGGTCTCCAAAGCTGAAAGAGGAGGTCCCCACCTGCCACAGAAACCAGCCAGGTATATATGCAGAAGCTAGAGGTGTTTGATTTGCATAGGGTTCCGGGGATTGATTTGACCAGGCTTGTCATTCACATAGCGTGAGAAAGAGCTGGCCTACTCACCCTAGTCTTTTAATATGCAAATGCAGAGTACCATGATCTACACACGTGGGGATATATGGGGGTGGCCATGTTGCCAGGAACATATGTGGCAAGGGCAAGAAGGTGGGAACCACAGTGTTGGGTGGACCCAGTTTCTAATGGCCAACATTTGCATATCAAAGGTTGCTGGCCTAAGAGCTGGGGCTTTACAAGAAACTTTTCTGGAAATGCTTTAAAAAATGAAAACTTCCTAAGGACCACCTTTTCTCTCTGATTTCTTACTAACTCCTACCACATTCCTCCCTGTGGTGATACAACACTAACTTGCTGTTAAGTGGTTTTGGGCAATGACTCTTTTTGACTACTTCCTGCTGAAAAAGGGCATCGAATGGAGAACAGCAGCTAGGGCACCTTCTGAGGTCAACTTAAGTGTCCTTGGAAGAATGGCATGTCCATGTGTGGTTCAGTTTGCATCACCATTAGGAGTTTGATTGCTTCCAGGCAAGAAGAAACAATTAGAGTTATAGTATTGAGTATACAGGGTTCAAATGTCAATACAAGATATATAAGCAAGAGAGGGCTTAATAAACGGGCTAACCAATTCCATAAAGAAGACTAGAATTCATTAAAGAGGGATTGTAGCTGACATTTTCCCTGAGCCTGTTAATAATTTTGATATGATTTTTAAGTACCTATAGATTTTTCTCTATTTTACTAAAGGTGTTAATCATTACTAAACCCAATAAAAAGTCCTAGCAGACTCAGTGATATTAAAACTTCCATGCTTCCTTTTTGTCAGTAACTATTATCCCTGCTATAAGGATAATAATTAAGCAAAGTACAACAGCAATGGAAACACTATACAATATTTCAGTTAGAAGGTGCTACCATGTATAACCCTTTTGCAAATAGTAGAGTGAATACAGCAGTTTCCACAAGTGTGTAGTAGATAATTTCCATCTAAAATTTTACTTGCCAAGATACAGAGTTTTCTTTTGTTGGTCTATGAAGCCTGTTTTTATTTTCCCAACAAAGAAAGCTCTGGGTTATGGGCATCCTACTCACTTTCATTACCTGACAGAATTTGCAGGATAATTGCCCAGAACTAGCATATTTATTCAAATTTTTACATTACCCATTCATTTTCTTTCTTCCAAACTGGAGGAGATTACCACTTGATTCACAGAAATAAGCAGAGTTAGTCTAAAATGTAGGCAAAAACTTAAATACAATTAATGATACTAGGATTTAATGAGGAATGTATGATAAGCTTTGGAGTATAAATTTTCTCTCCATTCCTCGTTTTTGATTAAAACAAATTATGATAGGACCATATGTGTTGCTCATAGAATAAACATTAGTCCTATGCATGGCCTGATTATTTGCATAAAGTGCAGCAAGAGAGGGTATTTCTACATAGGCCTTTTGGATTGGCTTTGATGAAACTCTGTTGCACAAGGAATCTCAGTTAAGACCTTTTAAAATCCAGCTCAGCCATGAATTTGTATCCTCAAATACCTGTGAATTGAGTGATCCTCTCCTTTTGAGGTCCCGAGATAAACTCCCAGACCTATTAGAAAGTGACATTCTTTACTGACCACAGGTTAGGAACCCTGTGCAGGGACTGTGCAGACAAGGTATGAGGCCAGTTCTCCCCAAGAGGCTTTTATTGGCTCTCCATGTCAAACTTGTTTCCCTTTTCAGTTAAAGCCTTGGTAATATAACCAGTTTTTCCAATTGTGTCCTGTTGACAAAGAAAAATGGATTCTTACTGCACTGACACAAACAACTATATGGCCATAAGTTAAGAGTACTTACAGACAGTCTTCAAATTCTAGAGGAACCAGGCAGAGAAGAGTAAACATGCTCCAAATTTTGTTCACAGGAGTATATCTTACTCAATTATTAAAGGCCATAAAATAACTTTTATTGACTGAAAAAGAAAATAGGGATCAGCAATATTCTAAGCAAAAGTTAAAACTTGTTAGAAACAAATGCTTATTTCTTGGTGCTGAAAAGAAGAACTGGCGCTCAAAGAATTTTCTCAGCAAGGCAATTTTACTTTCTGCAGAAAGGTTGCTTCTCAGAAGTCTGATTCCCACAAGAGCACACACGAACAAAGGAAAGCAGGGATTTTTATTATCTCTAACACAGCTTGTCCCTGTTACTATGTCCTGCCTCCATTGTCAGGAGTTGGACCACATAGTCTAAGCTAAACTTGGTTGGCTAACTTGAAAACTGCAAGAATGCGGTTATACTGGTGGGAAGGCAGGAAGATCAGTTTCAGCAGGAGTAGCCATTGCAATGGGAGAGTTAATTCACAGAGCAGGTAGCAGATGTGGAATGTGGGCTCTATGGATAAGGACTGGCAGGAAGGTTGTTTACCAGGGCAGGGGGAACACAGAGAGTAAGAAAGTCTGGCCTTGAAAGCAGGGAACAAAGACGAGGAAACTTAAGCAAGCTAAATCTTTGAAGAAGAATTTCTTACTGTATTCAACAATCCCCCCTTTAATTTTTTTATACTGTTTCTTCTTCACACCTTTCTGCATAATTTGGCTCTGTTGTTCTACTTGGTCTTCTAAAAGAAAAAGCTCGTTTTAATAAAGAGGAGCAGGATTGAGGGAGGTTTTGGTGAGAGCTGTTTCAATAAGCGTTTGTATTAGTCCTCAGGCACAGGGTATGACACAACATCCTACAAGAATAAGCAACCCTATTCCAATGGCAAGAGAGATGAGGATTGAGGACATAAGTCCCTTCCATTTGCCAAGCCAATTTCTCATTAAATGTGTGAAGGGGTTGTTTAGTCCAGAATTTTTGTCTAGCTCGTTTGATAAGGCAGTAAGACCTTGTAGTGCCTTTGTTATGGTCTTGCTGTGAGTGGTATTATCAGGAATAAAAGCACAACATTGGGTTCCAATCATAACACAAACTCCACCCTCTTTCATTAGTATCATGTCTAATGCTATTCTATTTTCCTAGGCCATTTGACCATGGGTCCTAATTGTTCAGCTGTCGCTTAATTGTTCAGCATCTCTAGTATAATTAACAAATCGTTGTTGATTGTAATAAATGTAGTTTATCCAATTCACATTCTTATTTATAGTTGACCACCAGAAGAACATAGATTCAAATCCTGCAGTTATCTGATTCTGGGCCTTAAATTCATCTGACACTCCTCATGGGACCCCAATGACATCTATATAAATATGACAGTGAAAGGACCCATGAGGCACCTCTCTTTTCCTACAATGTTTGGTTTCTATCTTTTCTGGTTGATGAAATGCCAGGGTGAAAGGGATGGCCAATTGAATTAGAGCACAAGTTCTGCTCCAGTTGTGGACACACTGGACACACTTAGCAGAGTGTCCAGTAATGGTCCACCACACTACCATTATATGTCCACTCAAGGATGACTAAGGGCAGACTGATGGGTAAGCTCTTGGAAGGACTTAAGCTCAATGCATCCCATTAAGCCTCTGAGGAACGCCAAGTTTTCTCCCTGTTGTGAGAGACACGAAGTAAAATTGGCGTTGGGAGACAGAAGCTAGATGGCCCTCGGGGGCTGACCCACAGAATGTTGAACTTCAGGAAACAGCAGAGAAAGCGCTTGGCATGATTTGTCACCCCAGGCTGAGGGATCTTGGAAGAGAGCAACCATGTAGCTCATGCCCAGTCAGTTGGAAGACCATCTGAGTGGAAAGGGAACAATCTGGGCCTTTGGTCTACTGTGCACACAAGTGTAACATTCACTTTTGTTTAAAGTGCGGATGGAATATTTAATCCATTTCAGCCAAGCATTTGCATCTTGATATACTGTCTCTAGAGCTATAGTTTGCTTTAAATCTTTTACCTCCACAATCACTACTTTGGTTGGGTTGTTCTGGAGATGGGAGGAGGATGATGGGCTTGCTATACCTGGGGAGAGCATTGGGTTTCACATGTCTCTTGGACTCTGAGTCTGGATTTTTTTATTATTGCTAACCAATGGTTCAGCTAACCTCAGGGAGAAGATTCCTATGGGATCCTGTCCTGTAACATCTGCTCCTAGCCCATACCATTTGAATACAGAGGGTTCCTGGGCCATTGTTTGGGGATTATATATAATCAGCAATAAGGAGTTACACTGCAATGGCTTACAATTTGGTGGGTGGGACCATGAATTAGTTGGAGTTTTTGTTTTAGTCCCTGTAACTTATTTGAAAAAGGAGGCCTGGCTGTCCACTCTTTATACTGAGTGGTCCACCAAACATCCGCCCAGTCACCACAGGGACTTTTTAAGACTCCATACTTATAGTTGGTTGACCCTTTATGGTATGGACATAGATAGTTATCTATATGTGATAGCTTCCTATGAGCTTGCTTGTCTCCACACGAGATGACTAAACAAGCATCGAACTGAAGGGTCAAAGGATGGTTAGCCCAAGTCACACTAATGACAAGATGACCTTCTGTTGGAAATAAAAGAGAAAACTCATTATTAAGCTCTTTTTAGAGTTAATTTGGTGGCGGTGAGCCCTGGAGTGACGATCCATGGTTCTGGAGGTGGCGGCGCTTTTCTGACTTGGATGTGATTAGTCCATCCTCTTTCCGCTGTTTGGACTGCAGTCTCAGTAGTTAGGAGCACCAGGTAGGGTCCTTCCCAAGGTGGTTTGAGTTTCCCTTCCTTCCACCCTTTGATGAGGACGTGGTCTCCAGACTGATGCTGATGTGCTGGAAACTCCAGGGGCAGTGCCTATGCTAGGAGACCTTTAGTTTTAAGGGAAGAGAAGGTAGAGGATAGACGAAGTATATAAATTTTGAGGAACTGATCTTTTGTTTCAAATGTAGGAATGTCAGCAGTGGAGTGTAAATAGAGCAATCCATGGAGCACCTCATAAGGGGAAAGGCCAATATCTCTGAGGCAACAGTGCAGATTCTTAACAAAGCAATAGGAAGACATTTAGTCCATGGCAATTGAGTTTCTAGAACTCATTTACTTAAATAGCTTTTTAGAGTCTGATTCATCCTTTCTATTCTTCCTGAGGAGAATGGATGCCAAGGGATATGGTATTCCTGTTTTATCTCTGGTACCTGGGCTAACTTTTTAATGACATGTGCAGTGAAATGGGTTCCATTATCAGAATCAGTGTTTTCCATTAATCCAAATCTGGGTATGATGTTTTCAATGAATGCCTTAATTACATTACTGGCAGTTGCACTTGAGAATGGGATAGCCTCTACCCAGTGGGTAAAGTGGTCTATTATTACTGATAAGTATTTTAAATGACCAATTGGGGGCATTTCAGTATAATTAATCTGAACACTGAAATGTTCCTAGTTCTCGATCCCTTCCTCCAAGAGGCAGTTTTCTTAGAATCTGCTTATTAGTCCTTTTACATATTAAGTAACTATCTAACTTGTTTAGGGTGTAAGTTCCTATACACCATAGACCCTGAGAACTGCATCGCTCATGGCTTGGGATCCCCAATGTGTACCCTAATATAGCTGAGACAAGATCTCTCACATAAGGTGCTTGGATAACATTTCTCTTTGGTCTAGTAACAGTCATTTTCCTTCTGAGTCTTCTCTGGCTCCTATCTTTAATTTTTCTTCTTCAATGGAAGAGAAAATGGAGATTGAAGTAGGGGAAGGAAGACAAGGAGTTAAGTGAAACACAGACGTTTCAGAGGAAACAGAAGCTTGCTTGGCTATCTGGTCTGCTACGTTATTTCCTCAACTTTCAGAAGAAAGGCTTTTCTCGTGTCCAGAGACATGGACAATAGCT